TTCAATGTAGTTGTTCAACCTCAGGTCAGTGGAGAACGTGAGACCAAGAAGGCGCAGTGAGATACTCTCGTGGAACTGAGCATCAACTATGAAAGGAGAAAGAGAGGAGAAAGAGAGAGACGCAGGGACGTTTCTATATGGTGGTTAAATGGCAGCAGTTTTGATTTGAATGCATTAAAATTCACAAACCATTTCCTGCCCCAGTTAACAACAGATTGGAGGTCGATTTCGAGACCAACGACCAGCAATGCCGGATTTACTATGCAACTGAAAACCTGATTACTGTAGGTACTGAGCGCTATTTCAGATCTCCAGTGAGAAGTGCTAAATTATTTCAGTCACCAGATAGACTCATTATAATTTAGTTTTGGTCTGACACGAAATTGCAAGAACAAAGTATCCTGTGATGATCGAACTCACTACAACAGCTTAGGATCTAACAAGACTAGCTAGGTAAACATAACTGCGCCAAATTTCTTTCTCCCTCAACAGTTGATTTATGTCATTCTATTATGTAATCGGATCAGAAAGAAACAAAACCGCAGCTCAGATTACTGAGCTCTCTCTTTATCTGTATCTCCATACATTCTCCATTGAAGTTCTTGTCAGTCAGGGTTTGTCTTTTTGCCATTCTTTTGCGTCTAGTTCTTAGTAGGTTAAAACCAATGTCTTTAAAACGATAAGCAAATCATTTCAAAGTGGGTTTAACTTAAGCCGTGTCTCATAAATACTTGCGAATTAGAGAATAATTTAAGAGATCTGCCTTAACTCTCAACTCTTGGTTTTCGACTTTCTTTTTCATTTTCTTTCTTGTATTCGACCACCTTTCTTGTATTCGACTTTCTTTCTTGTATTCGACTTTCTTTCTTGTATTCGACTTTCTTTCTTGTATTCGACTTTCTTTCTTGTATTCGACTTTCTTTCTTGTATTCGACTTTCTTTCTTGTATTCGACTTTTTCTTTTTCGACTTTCTTTCTTGTATTCGACTTTTTCTTTTTCGACTTTCTTTCTTGTATTCGACTTTTTCTTTTTCGACTTTCTTTCTTGTATTCGACTTTTTCTTTTTCGACTTTCTTTCTTGTATTCGACTTTTTCTTTTTCGACTTTCTTTCTTGTATTCGACTTTTTCTTTTCGACTTTCTTTCTTGTACTTTTCTTTTTCGACTTTCTTTCTTGTATTCGACTTTTTTTTTTTTCTTTCTTTCTTGTATTCGACTTTTTTTCTTTCTTGTATTCATTCTTTCTTTTTCGTTTTCTTTCTTTGTATCTCGTCTCTTTTTTTTCGTTTTTTTCTTTATCTTTCTTTCTTTTTTTTTTCTTTCTTGTATCTCGTCTCTTTTTTTTCGTTTTTCTTTCTTTTCTCTTTCTTTTCTTGTATTCGACTTTTTTTTTGTATTTTCGACTTTTTTTTTCTTGTCTCTTTTCGTTTTCTTATCGTCTCTTTTCTTTCGTTTTTTCTTTTTCTTTTCGTTTTCTTTCTTTATCTCTCGTCTCTTTCTTTCTTTTTCTTTATTCTTTTTCGTTTTCTTTTTGTATTTTTTCTTTTTCGATTTTCTTTCTTCTTCTCTCGTCTTTCTTTTTTCGTTTCTTGTATCGTCTCTTTCGTTTTTTTTTTTTTCATCTTTTTCTTTTCTTTTTCTTTTTTTATCTCTTCTCTTTTTCTTTTTTATGGTCTCTTTCTTTTTCATTTTTTCTTTTTCTCTTTTCTCTTTCTTTTCGTTTTCTTCTCTTTCTTTCGTTTTCTTTCTTGTATCTTGTCTCTCTTTTTTCGTTTTCTTTCTTTATCTCTTCTCTTTTTTTTTTTTTTCTTTTTCTCTTTTCTTTTTTTTTTTTCTTTTTTTGTCTTTTTTTGTTTTTCTTTCTTTTCTTTTTTTTTTTCGTTTCTTTTTCTTGTATATATATCTCGTCTCTTTTTTTTTTTTTTTTTTTTGTATCTTTCTTGTATCTCTTTTTTTTCGTTTTTTCTTGTATCTTCTCTTTTTTTTTTCTTTCATTTTATTCTGTCTCTTTTTTCGTTTTTTCTTTATTATGTCTCTTTTTTTTTCTTTTTTCGTCTCTTTTTTCGTTTTCTTTCTTGTATCTCTCGTCTCTTTTTTCGTTTTCTTTCTTGTATCTCTCGTCTCTTTTTTCGTTTTCTTTCTTGTATCTCTCGTCTCTTTTTTCGTTTTCTTTTCTGTCTCTTTTTCGTTTTCTTTCTTTTTTCGTTTTTTTATATAATTTTTTAATTTCGTCTCTTTTTTCTCTTTTCTTTCGTTCTCTCTTTTTCGTTTTCTTTCTTGTTCTCATCTCTTTTTTTCATTTTCTTTCTTTTTCTCTTTTTTTTTTTTTTCTTTCTTGTTTTCTTCTCTTTTTCGTTTTCTTTCTATTCTTCTCTTTTTCGTTTTCTTGTATCTTTCTTGTATTTTTCTCTTTTTTCGTTTTCTTTTATCTCGTCTCTTTTTCGTTTTCTTTCTCTCGTCTCTTTCTTTTTTTCGTTTTTTCGTTTTTTTTTTGTAATCTCGTCTCTTTCTTTTTTTTTCTTTTTTCTTTTATCTTTTCTTTTTTTTCTCTTTCTTTTTCTTTTTTCTTTCTTGTATCTCTCGTCTCTTTCTTTTTCTTTTTTCTTTCTTGTATCTCTCGTCTCTTTCTTTTTCTTTTTTCTTTCTTGTATCTCTCGTCTCTTTCTTTTTCTTTTTTTTTCTTTTTTCTCTTTCTTTTCTTTTTTCTCTTTCTTGTTCTCTTTCTTTTCTTTTTTTTCTTTCTTGTATCTCTTTTTTTTTTTTTTCTTTCTTGTTTGTATATCTCGTCTCTTTCTTTTTTTCTTTTTTATATGTATCTCGTCTCTTTCTTTTTCTTTTTCTTTCTTTTACAATTCGTCTCTTTTTTTTCTTTTTTCTTTTTTTTCGTTCTTTCTTTTTTTTTCTTTCTTGTATCTCTTTCTTTTCTTTTTTTTTTTCTTTCTTGTATTTCTCTTTTTCGTTTTCTTCTTGTATTTCTCTTTTCTTTCTTGTGGTTCGTTTTTTCGTTTTCTTTCTTGTATCTCTCGTCTCTTTCTTTTTCGTTTTCTTTCTTGTATCTCTCGTCTCTTTCTTTTTCGTTTTCTTTCTTGTATCTCTCGTCTCTTTTTCGTTTTCTTTCTTGTATCTCTCGTCTCTTTCATCTCTCCTCTCATTCAAATCTTGTCTGTGACGTATATTTCCGTAAGCTCTTGAATCTTCATATTTGTCGTGAAGAAAATTTTACGGGTCTCAGGATCGCAAATTAGTGCAGATGCATTTGTTCTTTAGAAGTCCATGAATCCGGCATTTTTTTAACCAATAAATATCTCTCTAGTTTTTATACCGACCTTTCTGTGCCAAGTGCTCTACGGATATAGCCTTTTACTAACTTTGCTCTTGTACAATAAATATATCTCCATTGTAATTGCCACTTTTTCACACCCTTTTGAATTTAGTTACTTTATCTCTTTTCTTATCCCCCTCTTTTCTCCTGTGTCTTTTTATGCAATTTTTTTTCCTTCTTTTTATGTTCGCAGCCATTTTCTTAAGTGACCATCTTCTACTTGAGCAGTGCTACAGGTTTGAAATGGACATGTTTGCCATTGGTCATCAGCTTGTACCAAGTGGTGCTACTTTCTAACGGAAGCGGTTGCTTAAGAATTCTGACGAAAGGGTGCACATTTTCTTAAGTCGTTCGAATGCGAATGTACAGACTGATATAATTCACACGGTAAAAAAACAAAAGAAATAAAAATATAAAAACAGTGGGTCTGGTCAAACACGGGTATCTACAAAAATAAAGTTTAGGATAAGAAATACTTCTGGATTAAAAAGAAAAACCCAATTAATTCTTCAGAATATGATATAGTTTTCAATCTGCACCTGATGATTGCCTCGTGCATGAAATTCCATATACCAAACATTGAGGAACACAATGTATATCTATAATTAGAGAAAGATGAGATAGATATATGATATGATGTGTGTATATATATATATATATATATATATATATACTAGCAGTAGAGCCCGGCGTTGCCCGGGTATGTAACAGTAACAGATAGATTAAGTATCGACCATCATAAAGACTGAAAAATAAAATTAACAAAGATTATTGTTTAAGGTTGATGGACACGCATGTCTTAATTAGTTCTTTTTTGTTTTTTTTTACGAATTGGTCAAACCCAAACTCAAACATAAACATTGTTTTCAATTGTTATGAGTCTATCGATTGAATAGAATTTTATTATCAACAATTGTCTTGTAAATGGAATTTTTAAAGCATTCTGAATGTAAAAAATAAAGAAAGTGTGCAAGACAATAAGAAACACTACCTGCCAAAAAAAAGTGAAGTTTTGTTGAAATCGGTTGAAAAATGTAAGAAATTCGATCCCATATATAAACGAACACACACACACACACACACACACACACACAACCTGGGTTTTATAATAAGTATAACTCGATATGAGGTGCCCCCCCTTTCATTCTGGTGACAGAATCGTGTTTTATCGTGTTTTCAAATTTATTTCGTGCAAAAACAATTGTTTTTCCAATTTTGGGCGCTGTCAGAACCACCGCAAGGTAATTTTATGTAGTCCTGTGAAGTTTTGTTGAAATCGGTTGAAAAATGTAGGAAATCCGATCCAATATATAAACGTACAGACACACACAATCTGCGTTATATAATAATATATATATCTATATGGGAGAAAAAGATCTCTCTCTATCTATCTATCTATATATATATATATATATATATATATATATATATATATATATAATATATGAATATGAGAGATTTGCTTTTGCAGGTTATTTAAAGACAGAAAATATTTCTAGATTGTAAAAATTTTTTAAATTGTAAGAATTTTATTAACCCATACCTAGGGGGTGGATTCATGCCTTTCCCAAGGGTATTTGCGCATAAGCTAATATAATGAACCTGACTGGAATTGGAACTCGGCTCTCTGATTTGCAATTACGTGTCTTTATCCATTAAACCACCCACACATCCAAACTTACAGCACCTGGTTTTCCAAACGGTCACTCATCTAGATATTGACCAGCCTTGACCTTGCTTAACTTCGGTGATCGTCTGAGATCTTGTGTTTCAACGTGATATGGCCGTGAGCCTCATATGAGAGACACAGACGTGACGTATTATCATATTATAATCGTGCTTTTATAATAATAATTCTGCTTATCCCCCTTAGCATGACTGTTACGCCTTGCCAGTAAATCATAAAATTAACTATTCCGTACTGATAGCGTGGAAAGACGGAAAAGTCACATCAGAGACGCGACTTGGTTTCCAGTGAGAAAATTAAAGAGGGATAATAGAAGTGTTTAACGTCTGTTTTAGTGAAATGGAAAAGGCTATCAATGTAAAAAATTTTTTATTTGTACTCCCTTACTTCTTAAAATAACGATCAGCATTCATATTTATAAGTGTTATTGCAATATTTTGTTAAAGTTAAGTTCAAATATTTAACGATGTGAAAGGGAAATTTCTACGGATATTTTGTCATAGAACTCATGAGCTCATTCAATCATTAACTTAAGAATTATGAGGAAACAGTGGAATTTACATGCATATTTTTCGTATATAAATATTGTTTTGGCAAATAACGGGTACAGAGTTGGCTTAACGGTTAACAAATAAAATGTAATCCTTGACCAGTGTCCAACTTTCAGCTGGGGCAGTTTTTTAGTCATAGTAATCCTTTTGGAAAGGCATGAATCCGCACAAAGTAGCATATCAAGTCAGTATTAGCAGTAGAGAAAAATACTTATGTTACATAGATAGGAGATGGGCGTCGCCAAATAGCACCCATTGTCCAGAGAAATACCACGAAGTACCCGGAATGGTACTTTGTCGATCTACTGCATCATGAGATTTTTTTTTCTTTTGATGGATGCTTTTGACATTTACTATTGACATGTATGAACATTTGCTATGGCTTCATTATATTTCTATGTCTTAAAGATGACTTCATTATATTGCTATGGCTTCATTATATTGCTATGGCTTAAAGATGACTTCATTATATTGCTATGACTTCATTATATTGCTATGACTTCAAGATGGCTTCATTCTATTTTCTTTTTTGCTTTTTCACTTTAAGAAATATCAATTACAATATTTAACTCTTTCGTGAGTATAATAAAGGGAAAAGACTGCTGGTAGCAAGCCCACTTCCTTTCTCCCTATACCTATTAACATACGTCCACACTTTTCTCGCTCTAATTTGTCTTACACGTTAAATTTTTTTCTTACGGTCTTCTTTTCGTTCAGACTTATCAATTACAATTATCTAAGATTGTTATTTATCATTTTGTTTTAACCTTTAGCTGATTCTTATTTTCGAAAATGGTTCTTGATTTTTTTTTTTTTTTTTTTTCATTCTCGTCCTTCACTCTGCACGCAAGTTTTTGTTAGGGCGTGTCACTTTTTAGCGTTCTTCCATGACACCACATTTCCTAGAAGAGAAGTTGGCATGTTTGATGAAATAAACTACTTTACCTTACTTAAACCTTTCCAGATGGAAATCCTGAAATGTAAACTACAGACAAATGGTTAACCTCCCCCTCTCTTTTATATATATATATATATATATATATATATATATATATATATATATAATAAAAATATGAAATTTGTCACTTAGCTGATTTTATATTCAGCAACTGGACTCCAGAGTTTTGCAGACGAAACTTTCTGCAATTGTTCGGTTCACTCGTCAGGAGGTATCAACAGTTGTTTGCGGATTTTCTCATTTTCGTTATTTTTATATTAGGTTAGAAATTTCTTATCTCATTATACTCTATTATTATTAATATTATTGTCATTCCTTTTTCTCTCTTTTGACTCTTAGTGTCAAAAGATATATGTAAGAAAAAAATAACCCCAGTTGATCAGAACAAGAAAATTAAATTATATATAATTTTTTTTTTAAAGCTAACATTAACAACACACTTGCAAGATTACAGAGAATAAATATTATTTATGAATTCACATTTCCCTTAAGGTACTGCGTTCCTGATGAAACCAAATTCATGAATAATTATATTGGACATACCACTACTGACCTATCAAGATGGCTCCCGTTACACCTCACTGACCATAGCTCAATTAGGACTCATTTAAACGCACATGAAAATCTACCTAACTCCATCCACAACATACATGTAGAAAATACAAGGATAAGTCTCATTCACATGTAAAAAAAAAAAAAAGACTAAAATAATGTAAGCACTAATAATAATAATAATAATAAAAAAACACTTAATAACATCAACATGAACACAGCCACAATGTGCTGACAGTGTTTGGAAAACAAAACTTACCATCACTTTAGAAATCTACACACTTAGTTAAAAATGAAAATAAAAATCGTCTTGATAGTGGCTAAAACATTATATATATATATATATATATATATATATAAACGGATATGCAGAACATTTGAACAATTTTTACACACTTTATGTCCAGAAAAGAAAACATTTGTACGAACACAAGAAAAATTAAATAAAAAGCTTACTCGCAGTACCGTGTCCGTCGTATTTAATGAAACACATATACACACTGTATCAAAAATACTTTTACAAACTTTGTGGTCGGGTTTCTTACACTAAAACAAGTCCATATAACTATATGTCCGAAAATTCTTCGTTTTGTGCTAAGTTTTAAAAAAGTTTACGATAGATGGCAATGTGTTGCCATGTAGACTAGGTTACAATTGTCATTCGTGTGTAGTCTGTCTCCAACGTTTAAAGTGTGTAGTAGAGAGTTAACTGAGAAGTGTTCCGCTTAACAAAAGCAGGATATTCATATCGCGAGCAGGCAGATATGATTTTTACATACGGTCGCGCGAATGGTAATGGACGCGAGGTTGCACGGCTGTATCAGATTGCGTTTCCAGACCGAAAGCAGCCGAGTCATTCAACCATTGCTGCTATTTATCGTCGCGTTGCTGAGACAGGAACCGTGACACCACAAACGAGAATCGAGAAAGACCGAGATCCGCTCGTACGCCTGATCACAAAGAACACATTTTACAGGTTGTCGGAGATGATCCAGGTATCAGCATACGTCAAGTCGCCCTAGCATATATGGACTTTTGTCCATTTTTGGTGTGCAGAACCAACCTCCAAAGTTTGTAAAAGCATTTTTGATACATCCTCTGTGTGTGTGTGTGTATATATATATGTGCGCGCGCGCTCAGATGGCGTAACTGTTATCAACGCGGAAAAAAGAAATCGTCTAGCTTAGTTTAACTTCCGGTCGATCCTGTTTCATTTTTTTTTGTTCTAATGCTCTTTGAAAAGGCGTAAATGCGTCTTCCCCCAGGTATGGGTTAAATAACAGGGCAGGCTGGCTTCTCTTTCTTAGAGTAGCAGTAGTTTAGAATTCAAGCCTGACAAATACTGTTTAGAGATTATGGAGCACGCTGTGTGGCATTTACCTGTTAGCCCTCCGGAATCACTTCTTACGACTCATATGGAGTATCTCTGTCGGATTTTCCTCGAGAACGAAGGCTCTACTCTGAGTGATATGTGCATAACTCCGTCCATGGTTTCCGTTATCATTTCAAAGCTAGATCCCCACCAGACATGCGTATTCGATGCTATCTCTACAGTCATCCTAAATAAATGTGCTCCTGAACTGGCTCCTGTTCTTTTCAAATTTTACAGCAAATCTCTCTCTACTTCTTGTTTTCCAGGTTGTTGAAAGTTCTCCTCGGTAGTTCCTGCTTTTAAGAACGCCGGGGAACCTTCTGACCCATCAAAATATCACCCTATTAATCTGTTACCTCTTTTTGGCAAAGTACTTGAGGCTCTAATCAATCAGAATTGGTTAAGGAACTTATTTCGCACGGCCTCCTTTCGGACAAACAATATGGCTTATTTTCCGCCAGGCCCCAATCCCGATTTGTCCCCGCAGATCTGTACTTGGTCTTAACTCATTACTTGCCATGAGCCCCATATGGGTATCTGTTAAAATTAAACTCACGACATGTTATTCCTTGTATTTACATTGAATTGCTTACATACATTGCATTTGCAGAGGTATATTTTACAACACTTAGTCTTTAAAGTTTTTTTTTTATTATTAGCCGTAAGAAGACACTTTCTGTCGTAATTTTACATTTCACGAGTAGAAAAATAATGACTATTTTGAAAAGTATTTTTTTATTATTTCTAATCAATATTAATTTTGGATGTTTTATACACATATATATTTGATTTTCTAGTTTCTATAAAAACGACAATGGTAACTACTGAAATTAAACATAAGGAATAAATAAACTCCTAAGACACCTGTCTGCGCCAAAAATGCGCATTAAAAAATTTGGCAATTAATGGATCATTCAATCGAGAAGATCATTGATTTTCATCAACGATCTTTTCGATATCATCACTTCGGAAAGTTGGTTCACTTTGTCGTGCAAGAAACGTTTTCTCATCTGAATCCATGTGCATTCATAAGCCTACCATTCGTCCTTGTAATGAATACTGCTGATCCTTATATATCTCGAGATTCTTGACACTATTTTTTTTTCACTAACTCTTCTGGTTCTACAGAAGCCATTCTCACTAATTCTTCCTAATTTACACAGACCTTTCTCACTAATTTTTCCGCTTTTAAACAATCTTTTTTCCACGAATTCTTCCCATTTTACACAATCCTTTCACAAGTAGACACGGTAGAGTAATGGATTAAGCCGAGTTGGGATTTCGGCAAAGTTCATTACATTCCTAATACCCTTGGGAATGGTATGAACCCAACTCTTTCCCCAGTTATGGGTTAATAAAAATAAAGTGGATTCTATAGCTTTGGATAGCAACCGGTCTAGAGGGAAAACTCTTAATTCAAAACTGTATGTATCCCTGATGAAGCACATACTATGCGGCTAAGGAAAGAATCGTTCGCATCGCCTCTATGATCCCGACTACAGTTGACGCATTTTTCCACCACTAATTCTTTCCATTTTATAGAAGACTTTCCTACCAATTCTTCCCATTTCACGCAAGCCTTTTTTCATTAATCTTTCACAAGATTTCCCAAGTATATCAATATCATCTGTGTGGGTAGTTTATCAGTTCTGTTCTAAAACTTCATAAC